TTCGGATAATATATGTTGATGGTTTGGGTGGTTTTGGTTTTCTTCTTTTTTCCTTGTATTTTTTTATGTGTTTGGCCGCTGCTTTCAGTAAGTTGTCCCTGATAATGTACCACTTTTTTTCTATAGTTAGGATGTTCTCAGAGGTTTCTGGCCATTGTTGTTTGAGGTTTGTAAGTATTTCGTTGTTGAATTCTTTCCAGTTTTCAGCTGTTGTGTCTTCCCATCTGTATCTGTTGTTTGCTTGTTTTTGAAGATGGTTTTCTCTTGTTGTGTTTGTGTTCCAAAGTTGTATAGTGGAGTGTGTGGGGTTGTGGTCAGTTTCATAGGTTGTTTTGTCTATTTTTTCGATTTGTGCTGTAATGACGATCCAGAGGGGGGAAGGTGTAATCCAGAATTTTATTAATAAAATTTTAATTAACAAGTAGCAAAAATAAATAAATAAATAACTTTAACAATATTGTTATATAAATATTATGTTTGTTAATATAGATTTATAGTACAATTTTTATAATTTTTTATTAAATAATTAATTAAGATTTTTAATATTATTTAATATAATTTATATATATAATTTTAAAGACTTTAATTTATTATTAATAAATAATTTTAAATAAACAAATTTTTAATTCATTGATATTTTGAATCAAAAAAAAATTTTTTTTTAAAAAAAACAATATATATCTTGTTATATGCAAGCGTATAAAAAAATATTATTTTATAAAATATTATTTTAAAAAGATATAATCAAAATATTGATTTATTGATTAGATTTTTACATTGACGATAAAATAGAATAAAATAATATTATACAGTATATATAAATTTTAAGAATTTTTTTTTTTACAATTTTAATATGGTCGATGAATGATTTTAAAATCATTATAAAAACTGATTTTTTAAAAAACAAACTTCGAATATCAATTAAAATCTAGATTTATAATTTTCATCAACAATAAAAAAATAAAAACTATATTTAACCTAAAAATTTAAATTCGCTAATAAATAAAGTGATTGCAAAAAATTTCAGCATAAATATATACTTTAAGTTTTTATAATTCTCATTACCGCATAATAAAAATTGTGCATAAGCAAATAACTAATATTGAAAAATATTACTATCATTATTCGAGAAAAAGCAATTATTTAATAAAGATGTGCTTATATAAAAACTACTGTATAATGTATAATAAACGATAAACAAGTAGATAACATTGAGAATTTTATTAATCACAGCTTGAATGTAATAAGAAAAAAAAGTAATATCTTCTTATTTCGAAGGTGAACAGCGATTTTTTGAACCCAACAATTGTTATCCTAACATTTGCATTATATTGTATCAACTAAATATAGGGATAAAAAATCGTGTTCATCGCCTTCGAGGATAATTGATCATGTACCTATAAACAAAAACTGTTGATATAAACTATATATACAAAGCCTGTCGTTTTTAAAATAAAAATGGAACTCTGTTGTTACTATTTAAAGGTGGGATGTAAGACAACAATAAACTGAAACAAATGAAAACATGAAAAAAGAAAAATAACAATTACCATTGAATTATCGAACCAATACAGTGCATAACAGTAAATTCAAGATAAAAACGTGTCCCTACTGAAGCAAAAATAAAAAATGAAACATCGAAACAAGATTTAAACCTCTTTTCTTTTTATGATTGTGCTAATTACTGTACTGACATCTTGATCTAATTTTTCCTCGAGAATGAAATACTGCATATTGCTCAACAATAATTGTATCACGTGAATCACTTATTTCCTTTTATATAAACTGCCTGATTCTAACCCATAATTTATTTTTATTTTTATTTTCTTTTGAAATCAACACTTTACAAGTCATAAAAAACGTCCTTTTCAATTAAATAAATGTTTACATACTATATGAAGTTATTTTCAGTAAATCACCGTCACTCATCGAAGTGCAATACGTGCATGTGGAATTATTGTACAGGTAATTACAATGCAACGTCCCTTTCCTGATCTCAGAGGAATATAAAGAATATCCGATAGATGATACAGTATAGTATTCAAATTTGATTGACTGACTTCTTTGATTATTGCCTCTTTCTGTCGACGAGAATAAACTAATATAAACGTTTTAACGTTCTCTGTTCTCAATTACTGTATCTATCCGAGGAGATCTTGGGGTAGACTTAAATAATGACAGAGCAATTGACCAAGATTCTTTGCAAATCCACTGTGTACAGTGTTGTAATCTTATATCATCAAAAAGGGTGTATATAAAACATATGTATCCAGTTTCGCAATGACAAAGCCTAGAATTTCAATCCAAAAAACGTTATCTATAAAACTTAAAATGTTCTTAATGTCCTCTATAGTAAGGCAATTGATTTACGAGTCACATTAATGGATACTGCACTCTATAAATCCCTTTACTTCATCAGAGACTTCTTTCCACAAGCTTTTTTCTCTTGTCGTAGCTCTATTCCATATAATGTCTCCTACCATATCTACTACACGATTGTCATTTATACGTAATCTTCTTGCTTCCTGTAATACATTCAGTTTTAATATTATTCTAGCATTCATCCTTCTTACTCTATTTTTGTAACAGTCGAGGATCTGTGGGGGGTCGCTCAATGCTGGCGGAGACAAGTTGCTGCGATTTATACTCTCCAAAAATTCCTGGACAGGTACTGGTAAATGTGAAGTAGTCATTTTTTTGTCTTTTTGATAAAAAGTAATTGAATTTTTTTTTTTTTTTCGTTGTTAATATTTCTCGTTCATTTGCACAAGTTATTGGGAAAGATACAAATAAAATGAATTTGTGTAATTGAATGCTCATACATAATTCCTTATTACAAGCATGTATAACAATGTATAAGCGACAAGTTTATTTCTAAACAATCTCGAAATAATATGAACAACTTAATTAGTATAAACTGTATGTTTATAGTTGAGTAAAAATTAGGTAAAGTCTCTTTTTAACTTGATGTAATAACTAAGGACCTTCAACTCCGCTTATCTGGCGGATCTCCTGTAAGAATGCAAATCCACGACCAATAGACGTCTAGATCAAGTCGGATCTCCGATAATGTATTATGCTTGTTGGTAAAATACTGTATTGTACTGCAGACTACAAATTTTTTGGTTTTAACATATAAAATTTTTCAATTAGTTCTCACTGTTATTATATATGCATACAGTACATCAACAATTAAATGTCATAATACGTACTACAATACACAGTTCTTTGATCTTTTCATCATGCTGTTTTTAAAAAAGATAAATTAATCTGTTTACGACGCCGCGGGTTCTTGTTTTCAGCCAGAATGCATTTGATTACAAGTTAATATCTTAACGGGAATTTGATGAAAGAGTAAATAATAATAAAGTTTGATTACTTGCTTATCTAATACCCACCTTATGAACATCTTATACATTTAACTGAACTATAAAATACAAGTATTTATATATGAAGGTTAGTGAGATATTTAGCAAAAAAAAAAGACGAGAACCTTTTAGAAATGAATAGTTTCGATTGATTAATCTTGTAGCTTATTAAATTATTCGGAATGTAATAAAGGTATCATAACATGGATACTGTGTATTGATTTCAGATAACGCCAAAGCAAGCTAACCGATTAAAATACAAAATTCCGTGTTGCATAAAGATAAGTGCAATGGCTGCGGGCACCAAGCAAATTAGGCTAAAGTACGCCATTTTTCCTTTCTGACCGGAAAACATATTTGATATGCCGACGTTTCTACCTTCAGTAAAATTTAAAGAGGTATTTAAATAAAGGATTTTGTTATGAATTCGAGTTATGAAAGAAACCGTGCCGAAAACGGATTTATTGTTATCAAAAAAAGCATAGCATTTTATGTTTAAACGCTTGCCATGTTGCTTTATTAAGCGTTTCCAGTAACTGATTTATCGTAATTATTAATATATGAAGTCTAATATTATTAGGCAAAAACTATTGTCTTAAATATTTATCAAAATGCCCGAGCAACGTTTTAAAATAATTACGTATATTATAAATGAACATTATTACTGTACTTTATAAATAACAAATCATGATACAGTAGTGATAGATATGAAAATATCCTTTTAATATCGTCTTATTGATTTATATTATCATTATTTTTATATCATTTGTTATTTCGCGTTTCAATATATTTGTTGTTTCATATTTGCAATATGTTAAGAAAAAAACTAGAAAAATTTTTATATCAAATATTTAATATTAAATTAAGAAATAAAAATTTATATAAAACAAAATAATTACAAAATAT